CTCTCTCTCTCTCTCTCTCTATATATATATATATATATATATATATATATATATATATATATATATATATATTATAATAGAGGTCAAAACACTTCAACCAAAATTTATTTCAAATCTAATATTTCAAATGCTTTTTAATAATGATTGTAAAAATTTCAACATGTGTTACTTAATTGATTGATTAATAAAAATATTAATGTTTTGAAACTCCTAACTCTTAAACTTATATTATTTAATTTGTTAGTTAACTAAAATATTTTTCCTACATAAAGATAACATTTTTATGTTTGGTTACTCATATTTGTTTATGTAATTAGAAAACAAGGTGTACATAAAATGATTACTTCAATTTCACATAGGAATCGATACCATTAGAGATGTATGTTGTCTTTAACCGGTGGTACGAGATCCACATACCCTTTTTAATTATTTATATTAATGCTTAATAATATCTATTTTATATTCCTATTCACCTTAATTATTTATATTAATGCTTACTTCAATTTCACATAGGAATCGATAACGCCCGCACCGCACCAAACCGCACCACATAACACGGTTTAAAACACTCGCGGTGCGGTTTGTATTTTTGTTAAACCGCATTATGCGGTGCGGTTTGCGGTTTACGATTACAAAATTGCGGTTTAAACCGCACCGCATTGATATATATATATATATATATATATATATATATATATATATATATATATATATATATATATATATATATATATATATTCGAAAATATTTTGATATGTCCTAAATTAGTGACATTATCTTAAGTTTTTAAAATGTAATCTTAATTAATCCAAAATTTAACGCAGTTACCATATTTTTTTGTCTCAAATTCATTTTCAACTAAGATTCAGTGACCATTATTTTATGGTCGCTATGTTTTCTTAACTTATGTATATTCATAAGTAGTTAATGACCACAATTACTTGACCACCAAATTTCTTAATGACCACTTAGTGAGCCGTTAGTGATGACAATGATAGTATTATCATTAAATTTAAAGTAAATATTTAGTCAAACCGCAAAACCGCATGTAAACCGCCCGCACCAAACCGCACCGCATAATGCAATTTTGAACGTTCGCGGTGCGGTTTGCGGTTTCTAAATAACTCAAACCGCATATGCGGTGCGGTTTGCGGTTTTGGCTCTAAACCGCACCAAACCGCACCGCGCACACCCCTAGTCCTGAATGTGCTTGTATTCTTGCGCAACGCACGAGGTTACGCCTAGTTTTCATTATATCCAAATGACTACAATATACTAAGCAGTATTTAAACGTGTTTAAACTTAATGACCCTATGAACCTATAATATTTAGATTGTAGTTATACACATTGACCGGATCACAAATGAGTTTGCTTATCCAGAAAAGCTTTACATCAACACCAGGGGCAAAAATGTCCGAAAATGAGAGATATAATTGTACTCTTGACAAAAAAAATTTGGGAACCGACTTTCAATCCATGGGAAAATGCAATTATAATTTTAGACAAAAACATAAAAGCATGACACCATTTTGAGTTTTATTATAATTGTAGACAAAATATAAAAACAAATAGCAATTTCTGAAGACATTGTTCAAGTCATAATTAAAACAAAATAAATCAAAGTTTTATTTTAAACACCACCGGATTTAGAGTTACAATTTGTTTATTTTGATTAATCATTTGACATTTGTAAGGATGTAAAATGAATATAGATAGGTGTTTGAGAATTACTTGATTTTATGACACAACCCAATCAACAAACTGATCTTTCATCATCACATGTTTTAGGAACTTTTTGGAGAACATTAGTAGCACACTACGTTCATCATCACTTGATATTACAAAAAAACCATAAATACATGTAAGTATGAATTTCAGCCACCATTTATTATTTTATGAAAAAACTAACCTGAAGTGGTTCATTTTCATCAATGGTATGTAGCATCTCGGTTATCAAGATCAGGCATTTGTGGTGAGTATAAAAAGTCAACACTTTTCGGCGAATTTTTGTTGACTAAATGATTAACATAGTAGTTAGTACTTAATTGACACTCAAAATTATAGCTCACATGTAAAATAATGATAAGAAATATGAAGGGATTAATGCTTTTTTCTTTTCTTTGATGAATACTTTTAAGTTTTCCAATGTCTTCTAGTCAGCCTCACAAATGTGTGAAGGAAATTGGGCCACCACTGATAGAAAGATAAAAAGGATCACAAAAAAGGGGGCAAATATATGAAGAAACATAGAAGTTCATTTTAATGATGAAGCACTGTAGTGTATAATGACTCCTTCCTTTGTTCTTCCTATATGAAAAAACAACAAAAAGTAGATTAAACGTTTGAAAATAAGTATGAAATCAACGCAGTGAGCTTGGAAACATGAAGATCCATTAACCAACCAAAAAACTGTTATAATATCCCCACAGTATACATTTTCGTAAGATTAAATTTTCATGTTTAAAAAATAGAGACTAAACATAAAGGCGTGGTGGAATATATGGTAATACATGATAGTGGTAATTGCAAAGAATAGCAATATACATGATTAATTGGATGCTATAGAGCCTGAATTTCCTTAAACATTAAGCACAATTTTGAAAATACATTGTTTATCAAAAGCAAATAGAATATAAAATCTTACTTGGAATAATAGACTTCTCTATTGCATCTATATACCCCACTTCCACACAACTATATCTCTTGCTATTAATCACACATTTTCCTCAAATAAATACCCAAATTTATGCATCATCTAATATGAACGTGGGATATTAATAACAAATGAAATATTTTTCAAAATGGTATAATTAAAAAAAATGTATACCTTAAGAAGCCATTTTCCTATTGATATTTCAAAATCAATTGACACTGCAAAGCATTATGCACTTGGTCCTGTGTAAACAACATATTTTTTCATCAAAGAAAGCAAATAAAATGACCAATTTGTCAATAATGTAAATGTTTAGAAAGTATATATTGATTAATTTTATTGAAAGTTTGTTAAAAGAATTCAAATTAACATGAGAGAGAGTTCCCTCTTTGAAGGTGTGGCAGGAGAAGTAATGTCTTCGTTAGCAGTACCAGAACACCAAGCATTTACCTTTCTCTTGATTCTGTTAAATACAACCTAAAGAGTAAAACAAAAATCTACAAATTATAAGAGCATAGATCGTAAAAATGCAATAAACTTTAATTGCCTCACCAGAAACCCTAAATAGTAAAGGGTTTAAGAAAGTTATGGCGATTGAAGAAACATGGAATTGAACGGTGAATCCCAAATCCAATAAATGGCACACAATGAAGTAAAGAAAGAAAATTTCATTGGGTTCTTATTCTTCTTCTAGGTTATCTATGCCAAAAAGAGCGTTGAATTCCTAATTGCAGTAAACGTGGAACTCATAATCCGTATTATATAGGGGGAATTGAGTGTGAACGTGGTTGTCCTGAATCAGATAGTGGCTTCCGTAATCTCAGATGGTGCCTTCTGGGTTGAAGAAGGAGGAACGTGGGGAGCAATTGAATCCAGTCTCTATTCTCAACCTTATGCAATCGTGGATGTTAAAGCGAGATTGGGGAGACGTAGGCAAGAGAAGACGGAGGCGTGATACAGGGACATTTTAGGTAGGCAATGAAGTCGGAGAAGACACAATCAATAGGCAACCACAGGTAGGCGGTTAAACCGTAAATAGCTAGTTCTTGATAATGAGAATTGATTCGTGAAGAAGGAGAATTCGTAAAGAAGCAGCATCACATTATTTCAACGGAGTCGTGGATGCTGCAGGTAAGTGCCGGTTATGGAATGAGGAAACTGCCTAATTAACAGAAAATAAAATAGGGAGTTTACGGCTGAGATTAAAAGTCGAAGAAATCTAATGGCTAAGATTAAGACGAATATGTTTGACGAGCCGTCTCAATAATATATATAATATTGGTTTAAACGAGCCTCATAGATAATCAATTTCTAAAACAATCTTAAATTAAAAACTTGTTTGAAAGACATCTTTTAAGAGTAAATCACTAAAATTGTCTATTTGTGGTTAAAATTATATGTTTCGTTCTTATTTTTCATTTTTTCGCATTCAAACTCTCCCAATAGTTCTCTTTATCATGACTTTCATCCATGGTGTAGATAAAACAACTACACTAACCTTATTTCTTTTCATTATATATTATATTATATATACAATTATATCTTAATGCTCTTATGAACCGTTGTCAAGATCGGGATCCTATCTAGGATCGTTTTTGAGTTTGCAAGATCGGAATCGGGATCCTAAGATCCCACAAAATAAAATATAATTTTAATTTTTAATTTTTAATTATGAAAAATATGTTAAACATTCATTTTTTCGTTCAAAAGTTATAAAAACTTCAAAATATTAGTCATAAGTCACAATACAAAATGATAAATGATAAATTGGTAAATTGGTAAAGGGTAAAAGACATAAAAAAGTAAAAAAATTCATTTGCAAAAAAAAAAAAAAAAAAAAAAAAAAAATCAAGGGAAGGTAAGATCGGATCGGATCTCGATCCAACGATCCTACCTACGATCTTACGATCCTACACCAAATACACCTTTTACGATCCGGATCGTTTTTCATACCTAAGATCGTAGATCAGGATCGCGATTTTGACAACAATGTTACAAACAGTAATTTTTTAGCTAGTGTAAATTTTTTGGCTTGGTTTTTATCTATTTATCGGCTGACTCATTTTTTTATCGGCTGCTTTTGTTTTTATGTTTGGCTTCCGACTTGAAGTAAAAATGGTTGGCTTCTGGCTTGAAGTACAAAATAGGCAACGATTCTTCCGGTTTCTTTTCACCGTTCTTTCTCCAATCGTTGCACAGACCTTTTCTCACCGCTTCACTCCTTTCATCTTCCTTCGTCGCATCTATTTTACTTTCACCTTTCCCATTGCCCTCCACAGAGGCCGATTACCTCTGCAAATCGTTTGAGAATCTGCAACCCATCAACTTTGGAGAACAACAAAGGAGATGAGAGTCGGCAAGAGTGGTGTCCGGTTCCCTTCGCCAGCGCCGCCGCCTACGCCACCCGGAAAAAGGGGTACGCCTGAAGTGGCGACCTACTTTGAGGGTTTTTGCGCCTGCTCTTTTGGTGCTGATCAACCGGCGATTTCCAGTTTCCTCTTGTGTTGATTAAAGAATCCTATAACTTGGAAGGCAGAGGATTAGAGGATAACAACGACGAAGGCTACATCCAAAGTTAGCTATTTCTGGTGACCAGAAACAAGGTTTGATTCTTGACCCCTTTTTAATTGTTGACAAAACATAGTTCACAGTTTTCCTCAAATTTCTCGTATCTGCTCCGCTACGATTAATCTTCATTTCCCCAAAAATATACAAATAATTGATGAACGGTTTCTCTTTTATCAGTGGGGAAGGAGAAAGAGGCGAGAGAGACTCGAGAATAGTTCTGGTAATGATTTCTTGATACTCTTCCTCCATTTTTTTTTTTTTTTTTTTGATGTCTATTATAAACCTACGAAATCGATTTGTGTGTCCTGATACTTCAAATTTGTTATCGTTTATCATGTATCTAGATTTTCTTGATGGGTTCTGTAATTTTTTATTGGAAAAGACATTGTGGTTTGAATTGCACTTCATACTGAGTAGCCATCTACATAAATCTCACGATGATGTTTTCATAACTCTAAAATACTTTTACATATTGAATAGCTTATTAAAGTAGGAGCAATGTTCTATAAGTTAATTTGACTCTTCTTTTTTTCCAAGTCCTTTTCACTTCTTTGCCCTGGTATGTTTTTTCTAAATTAATGGAAAATATGAAGTTAGACTAGATGGGCATATGAAGTTTAATCATTGACTTTGTGCTTCACATTGTATTTTGAGATTTAGGAATTAAACATCAATTAGAAACACCCATTAGGTAACAGTTACAAGTGATTATCAGCTGATTATTGATCAATAAGTTTATACATATTTTGTTTTTCTAATTATTTTCCTGTTTTCTTATGAATTTGTTGGTGTCTTTACTTTGTTAGGTTTTTACATTGGTAAATTTATTTCAAAAATGCCTTCATAAGAAGAATTCAGTTTAAACTCTAGAATGTTTTAAACCCTACAATGGAAAGTTAGAATGCTTTAATAGCATATAAAATAAAAAATACACTGTTGTAAGTCTGTAACAGAAAAAGAAGAAAATAGAATGCTATAATAGCTAAATAAATGAAATGTTGTTATTTCATTACAAATTAATCATTGTTTATCAAAAATGCAAAAGAAATGTTATAGCTTTTGTGCATTCTGATAAACACTTCAACACATTGTACTTTCAAAATAACAATGTAGTTTCATTTATTTTTTTATTATGCAGGTATCCTAATTGAAGGAAAACACTTTGATATGATCTCGGGAGCTGCAACAAACATAACGGGGATACAATATTTTCCTGTTGATAAAATATCAATACAGTTGTCGCCTTTGGAATTCGTTTTATTGGAATTTTTACCACTATTTATTGGAATGCTTCTTTTCTAGACTCATGAAGGTAAAAAAAATTGACTCTGATTTGTGTCGATTTGAAAAATACCCTTTATATCTTTTCAATTTTTGATGTTGGTTTCTGACTTTGCAAATATTGTATCAACCGATAAAACAGACTTTTTTGCTAATCACTTTTTACCTCCAACAAACACCATCTTTGACCTCCAAATCCAATTAAATTCTATAAAAAACCCAAACCAAACGAAATTATAATAAAAAACATGTATACAAAATCAAAACCAACATGAAAAAAAGAGACCTAAAAATGGTTCTAGAAATCAAAATCAAACCTGAAAATGATTCCATAAATCAAAATCGAACTAAAAGCATACATGTAAAGAAAATCAAAATCAACATGAAAATAGTTCCAAAAATAAAAATTGATTCCACAAATTGAACCAAATGCAAAATCAAACTTATTTCCAGTATGGTATATTACATAAATCATTCCAATATGTGTTATTTTTGCTCCAATTCACGTTTCAGAAAGGTGAAACCATTTTTAGGAAGAACACACTAACAAATGGAGAAACAATTCGAAGATGTGACGATTTTGTTGACAGTTCAATGGTACGTGTTGTCTATTACCGACAACCTATTTGACGTCGGGTGAAACGATTTTGTTGTTGACTATGCATGTTCCCTTTAACATCGTCAGAGTTGGAGAAGGTGGCAATGTAGTTCAAGTAATTGTTGTGATGTCACCAATAGTGATGAAGATGGTATGTCATTATTTTAGGGTTGGATTTTGATGTTCATGTGAGAATAAAATGGTAAGGTGAGATCCAATGTGATAATATTATAAAATAATTATATAAATTGATTAAATATTAAAAAAAATCTAATAAGGGAATTATAGTCTTCGAACAGAAGAAAGGCACAACAAAAATACGACAAGAAAGGTCTGAGTGCAAAAAAATAAATAAAAACAAAACATATAATTTTGACAGAACCATATAGACGATTCTGAATATACTTTAGAAAAAATTTAGAACCAAACCGAATATAATCGATTATGATCCAATTTGGTATAATCTTAATTCAGTTCTTTAATTTAAACCTATCACAATAATAAAAAAAATAATTTAAAATACATTATTTATTGATAAATTAACTAAACTAACCGATATAAATAATTTTGTTAATAAAAATGATCACTTCTTTTTTTTTTTCAAAATTTGCAAAATGACCATGAAAGTACTCAAGAGTTGTAAAAGTCATTCTGGAGTTGGTGGTGGTTAGCAGGATATGACATCCATAATTTGACACGCATACAATCTAGACTTAAAAGTGTGTTTCATATTTTAGTGTGAAAATGTACGACCATTTCGTATTCAAAGGAATAAATTGGGATTTCTAGGACATATTTAGACCATATACTTCTTTTTTGATTCCATTTGAGAAAACTTACATATCTGGATCACATACAACTTTGTGTTACTGAAAATTAGAGTTCGTATAATCAATATTTTAAAGTACTTGTTTGCAGTGGAGGGCAATGAGACCAAATTGGCGCATGAACCTATTATATTGCTTAAGACTACACATGATTTGGTCTATATTTAATAACTTATATAAGCTTTTTTGGATGAGTAAATTATTGAAATCGTCCCTATGGTTTGGTCAAAATTGCATGGTTGGTCCCTAACTTTTATTTTGCACTCGGATTGTCCCTGTGGTTTGATTTTGTTACGTTTTTCGTCCATATGGTTTGGTCAAAATTGCACGTTTGGTCCCTAACTTTATGTATATAAGGGACGAAAAATGCAACAAAATCAAACCATAGGGACGATCCGAGTTCAAAAGAAAAGTTAGGGACCAAACGTGCAATTTTGACCAAACCATAGGGACGATTTCAGTAATTTACTCTTTTTGGATTGATTATGTTGGTTGCTTCAGAGTCCATGCTACATACCAATAAAATTTGTTTTTTTTCCCTATATCTTGGATCAAACATAGTTATACAAATTATTAACGATAGTGATATTATATATTTTATTAGTTTTATTAGTAGTATATGCCTCCTAACCCAATACAATTGTTTATTGTTAATAATGCTTTTTAAATTGACATTGATCGATTTCATGGGGAATTGTTCTAGGGGCAATGAGTATTATGGTGTTAGAATTAACCAAAATTATAATTTATTATCGATGACATTGGATATGATTCCTTCTTACAATGGGCCTGAAGCAGAAGGGGGTGTTAGGTATAAAGGTAAGGTTGTTGTAGGTATAAATGTAACGCTGTTGGTGTTGATCCAACATCTGAGGGTGATGAGTCAACAATTATTCAGGAAAAACTGATAATGTTGATTAAGGATGGTAATATACTTCTACATGGAAACCTAGTGGAAAATTTTCATTGCTTCTTTAAATATGATGGGGATGGGGATGAGACTGAATCTGATGAGGAGAAAATCGAGCCCCGACAACCACGTTAGGAAAGTACCCTTATTATTTTTCAGTTTCTGAAGAAACAAAAACCACTCATTGGGGGATGCCAAATCCCTTACCATTTCCTAAAATTCTAAGATCAAAAAACATAAAGGTTATGTAATCTATCTTCGCATGTGAAGCTGTTATAAATGTTCAAAAGCAAAGAAGAGCTTAAGCTTCATTTGGGATTCAAATATGTTAATGAGGGACTACAAATTAGAGTGAGTAATATATGATAGAAATGTTTGAAGCAATTTTCTTTGTAAAAAAAGCAAATGGAGGTTAAAGGCTACAAAAGATAAGATTATAGGTACATTTCAAGTTCGTAAACTATCTAAAAGCCACATTTGCTCAAACACACAACTGCATGTCTGCATCCCCCATCATCTCCAAGCCAACAAGAAATTGTTGGGTCACTTTGTGAATGACATATTAGCTGATAGTATAGGGAATATACTATGGGGAAAAGGAAATCCAATGATCTTTGAATGACCGCTTTAGTGTACATATTTTGTACCGACATGTATTGAGTACAAAAATGTCTTCTCTAGATGTGTTGAGAGGGTTCCCTGAAGAAATCTTTCAAATATATCATTTATGTTGTTACAATTTAGAGAGGAAGAATTCAGGGACCATTACACATATTAAGACGGATGACAACAACATATTTGAATACTTTTTCACTGCTATTGGTTGCACGATAATATTTCTTTTGCATACTTCTTTTTTGTAAATGATTTTGTAATTGTTACACATGTATTAGATCTAATTAATTTTCTATTATTTTGTAGATTCGGGTGTTTCAAACTTGTTTGAATCCTCTTAGTATCATTGACAGAGCCCAACTAAAAATAGAATATATGGAAACCATGTTCCGAGCGGTAGGCATGACCGACAGTAACCAAATCCTCACATCGACATTTGATGTTGGAAACACTGAAAATGGGGAATCGTGTATATGATTTTTATTGAGGTTGAAAGAATATATCGATGGTATCTAGCCGGTTTTTAGGCGGATGAGATGTAGATGCTCATCGATTTTATCATAGCCAGTGGACAACTATCTTTACATGTAATCTAAGATTACTCGTCCCCCCAAGCGTATATGTGCCACAAAAAAATTGGCATTTTATAAAAATTAAATATAATATAAAATCATAGTTTTCATGTTAATTCTTATACATGTTGAATTGGTCTAAATCTGGACCACTGCAATGTATTCATCCTGCAGTGGCTGCCTAGGGAATCCATCCCAAAAGTGCATGCTCTAATATATACAACAAGGATACTGGGACTATGTCTTCATCAGATAATTCATTAAATGAGTTTATTGATGACATGCTCCAATTCAACAACGTTCACCGAATCTGATGCCAAGACTAATGGAAATACATGATTTTTGAATTGTGCGATCGATAAACAGGCTGCAAAATACTCCCCGAACCGCAAATCGTTGACAAGGCAGAAAGCTCTCTTATTAAAACAAAGTCAGTAGTCATGAAATACTAACTCCTCAACATCATACCGATGATGGCTCACTACCTCCTTACACAATAAGTAATGACATATTATTGGGTGTCATTCTACACCCATCGACACATCAACCCTCCAACCAAAACAAGACGTCTAGAAAATTTTAGTTTGTATGTTGTAGTGACAATCACGTCATATATATTATCATGCTGCAAAATTTTTAAAATTAACATACTACCTCAAACTAGGAATTTTTGTGTTCTAGACTTGCTCTATGATTTCCAGACTAGTTGTACAGTGTAAGGACTACTCTAGTTCTTCGTATCCTAGAGTGTTCCTGAGACTATTTTCTACGATTTCTCTTGTACTAATTTTTTTCTAATACAAATACAACTTAAACAAAAAACTTAATTATCACCAACATCTATTTCAAACAAATTAATATTTCAAAATATAAAACACAATACATTCTGGTTCAGATAATAATCTAAAAACAAAATACTAAGATTAAAATAACGACACATACCCAAAAAAATGAGATTTTCACTATCAGTCGACATTTGTTTTGAAAATTGTTTGTTTGTGTTCTTGTTGTCCTAAACATTCAAAATATGTTCAAAACACAAGTCCGAAACGACTGAGAAGGTATATATAAGGGGAGCATATTGTTAGGATCGTTGTTAGGCCAAAACCATGATCAACATAGAAGAACAATGATGTTTCATTTTTCTAAAACCAATTCGTGATAGAAATGATTACTCTTACCTTATATGCTAGATTTTTTTTTTTTTTGCCAGTGTGGAATTGGGTTTACACACTAACACATATTTACTGATCGGGTTAACAATCTAGGTGATCCGTATAAACCATGTGTCCGAAATGTGTTTCAGACTATATTGTTAGTTTTTAAAAGAGTAAATTACACGAATGGTCCCTATGGTTTAGGGTAATTTGCACGTTTGGTCCCTAACTTATTTTTTTAACTCGGAAGGTTCCTATTCTTATTTTTTGTTACGCGTTTGGTCTCTGTCTTATCTAAAAAAATACTATTTTGCTTTTGATTTTTTAATTTATTTAAATAAACACACGCCCAGCCCCAACCCCCTCACCTTACTTTACCTATCCCACCATTTTTTTCTATTTAAATAATAGTCTTTTTAGGTAAAACAGGGACCAAGTGTGTAACAAAAACAACAGTAGGGACCAAGCGTGTAACAAAAACAAACAGTAGGGAGCTTCCGAGTTAAAAAAATAAGTTAGGGACCAAACGCGTAAATTACCCCAAACCATAAGGACCATTCGTGTAATTTACTCTTTTTAAAAAACTTGTTATTTTATAAAAGGGAAATCTCCAGAAAAGTCCTAAAATTTTACCCTAATTTACGAAAAGGTCCAAAACTAAATTTTGTTTACGAAAAAGCATGAATTACTGGTAAAAATCGCGATTTGACCCCTTTTTCCGGTTTACCGGTTTTATTACTTACTTGTTTCACTAAAGTCCCATTATTTTACCATAATTTGCGAATAAATCCCAAAATAAAATTTACTGATGATTTGGCCATTTTCTTCATGTAACATACATTTTATCGGTTTCATTGATGACTTAGCCACCTAGTCATTAAATTAGTTGATAAGATGGATACTATGGATTATATAATGCTACATTTACTGTAAAATTTGATATCCATCTCATCGGCTCATTTATGACTATGTATCTACGTCAGCAATGAAACCAATAAAATGTGTGTTTTAAAGAAAAAATGGCAGAAAATGAGTTATGTTTATGAGATGAATATATTAGGTTACATAAGATTAGATAAGCAATTTGATATTTCTTATAAACGTAAAAAATAACGTTGTTGTTGTTAGTTTATGTAATTATTGTAGTCTTCGTTTGATGCATTTTATGTTCCAAAAAAATACACAATACATCAGGATATCAAATTTTATGCTAAACATAACATTATATAACTCAACATATCCATCTCATCATCTCATTTAATGACTAGGCGTCCGGGTCAACAATGAAACCAGTAAAATGTATGTTACATAGAGAAAATGGTCAAATTATCAGTAAATTTTATTTCCGGACTTATTCGCAAATTAGTGTAAAATAATGAGACTTTAGTGAAACGGGTAAGTAATAAAACCGGTAAACCGGAAAAAAATGGTCAAATCATCATTTTTACCAGTAATTCATGCTTTTTCGTAAACAAAATTTAGTTTGAGATTTTTTCGTAAATTAGGGTAAAATTTTAGGACTTTTCCGGAGATTTCCTTTATAAAACTATTAAAAGTATGTTTACTCAATTTCTCTTAGAATGTATCTAGCTTACTTATGAGTGATTGTTCGTCACCGTTCAGGTTGTTATCATGAAGATGATGACGACCCATATCCAGACACACTTGTACCTCCTGCCATGGAGTGACACTCACTAACTTGTACACATGTAGCATCTCTTACCTCCATGTGTTCTATTTTCCATGCCATTCGATCTTACATGTCACGCTCTCCGTCACCTTTTTCCTCCATAAAAACCAACCTCTCGCTCTCCATTTGACACACCTTCATCAATGGCGTCCAAAGCTTCTTTGATTCTCTCATTCCTCCTACTCTTCTCCACCTGCCTCGCCCGCCACCAGCAACAACAGCAGAAGCAGCAGCAGCTGCCGCAAAACCAGTGCCAGATTGGAAGAATCGATGCTCTTGAGCCATACGATAGGATCCAAGCCGAAGCTGGTGTCACTGAGTTCTGGAACGCCGATGAGAAGCAGTTCCAGTGTGCCGGTGTTGAGTTTCTCCGACACCGGATTCAACCTGGTGGACTTCTCTTGCCATCCTACGTCAACGCCCCTCTCTTGTCCTTCATCGAAAAAGGTGTTTTATTTTTCCTTTCCAGACTTTGAATTACTTCAAGAATAGGAATTCATGGGTTGTTGACTCGTTCATCTGATCTGTACAGGTAGGGGTGTTCATGGGGTTATATTGCCGGGATGTCCAGAAACCTATGAATATTCTCAGGAACAACAGTTTTCCGGTCAGAGCGAACGCAGAGGACAGAAGTTTGAAGGGTTACAAGATCGCCACCAGAAAGTACGGAACTTGAACCAGGGAGATGTTGTTGCCATTCCCGCCGGAACAGCTCACTGGATTTATAACGACGGCGAGACAGAACTTGTTGCTGTAGTCTTCTTCGACACTCAGAACAGCGCTAACCAGCTTGATCAAAACCACAGGGTAGATAAATTACGTTAGTTCAAAACTATTAATTACCACTTGTAGAACTAACTAAAAGATTCGAGCTTATAATTAAATGTTTCAGAGATTCTTCCTCGCCGGGAACCCTCAAGGTCAAAGCGAACAACAACAAGGTCAGAGACAACCACGCAGACAACAAGGTCAGAGCCAGCAGGAGCAGCCCTACCGCAATGCTGGCAATATCTTCAACGGTTTCGATGTGGAGTTCTTAGCAGAAGCATTCAACGTTGACAGGGAGACTGCTGAGAAGCTTCAAGGACAAAGAGACCAAAGAGGTCACATCGTTAACGTCGAACAAGATCTTCAAATCATCAGGCCACCGCAAACCAGACAACAGCAAGAACGAGAACAACAGGGTGGACGTCAAGGTGGACGGAGCAACGGTTTTGAAGAAACCATTTGCAGCTTGAAGCTAAGCGAGAACATCGATAACCCCACCCACGCCGACTTCGTAAACCCACAAGCCGGCAGGATTTCAAACCTCAACAGCTTCAAATTCCCCGTTCTCCGGCAACTTCAACTCAGCGCCGAGAGAGGCGAACTCCACCCGAATGCAATTCAGGCACCACACTGGACATTAAACGCCCACAGTCTTGTGTACATCACCGACGGAACCTTGAGGATACAGATCGTGAACAACGCAGGGGAGTCAGTTTTCGACGATGAGCTCAGGGAAGGACAGGTGGTGGTGATCCCACAAAACTTTGCAGTGATCAAGAGAGCCGGTCAACAAGGATCGAGGTGGATTTCTTTCAAGACCAATGACAACGCTATGATAGCTAATCTTGCTGGTCGTGTATCGGCCATCAGGAGCATGCCGGTGGATGTGGTGGCGAATGCGTATCAGTTGTCAAGAAACGACGCTCAGAAGCTGAAGTTCAGCCAGCAGGAGTCGCTTTTGCTTAGCCCCAGCTCTTATTCTAGGAGCCAGGGGAGGGCTTCGGCTTAAGTGAAAGTCTCTGCACTGACTTTAGGGTTTGAATAATTAATAAAGGATGTAACAAGAGTTGTATAATAGTGCAAGAGTAATAAGACCTTAAAACCTTTCAAATTTTGCTTATCTTTGCATGCTCTTAATTTTAATGGCAAGTCGCAAATTGCATCTATTTTC